CACCCCAGATGTGCGGGGCTGGGGGGGCGAGGGGAGGCCCGATCTCCCCCCCCCCGCCCCCTTGCTCGGATCGCGGGGTCGGTTCCCCCTCCCTTCCCCCAGCGGCCGAGGAGGTGGTGGTGGGGCGGCCTCGCGGGCTGTCGGCCTTGCCGTGAAGGAAGCCCCCCCCCGCCCTGCGGAACGCGCGCCCAGGATGGCCGCCTTCCCACCCGCCGGTCCGGAAGGCCGAGGGAGGCTCGTCTGACTGGTCCGCGGCGATAAAAAGGTTGGGGACCACTGATATAAATCAAACATCAGCAGCTGACCACAAGAAATGCTTTATGGCATTCTGTATTAGCAGTATATAAGTAGATATGCTTTCATACACTTAAAGCTACTATTCCTTAAGAGGGTGGTACTTTTTAGTGGTAAAATCATTTACTGATGTCAGAATCAAAAATACCAATAAGTTCAAGAGATTTATTATCAATGATTGATGACATCATAATTGAATGTTTACAAGGAAAGCATGGAAAGGGGGAGAGAGACAAAGAAAAGATTTAGCTAGGACACTAAAATGAGATACTGGAGAGCAGATGATAGACGTTTCAAAAATGAAAAATATGACCAAAACAACAATGAATTGAACAATGCCTAAAAGGAACATACAGAGGAATTGATAAGACATACATGGCAAAATTACACGAAGTCACTGGATGTAATTCTATTGTGTGTGTTAGGCAGAGTTCCCCAACCTTTCCAGATTGGTGGCCCAGAGCGGGGGGGGAGAGGGGAAAGAGGGGATGAGTTTGTGGGAGGGGCAAGCACATGTGCGTGCGAGCATCTGCGACATTCCCAGCGAAGCATTCCCGTGTTGACACGGGAGTGGGGCTGTGCGCGCGAGTGGAGGCACAGACCAGCCAGCCATTCATGTGGCCCAGTACTGGACTGTGGCCCATAGATTGGGGACCCCTATGTTAGGGTGTGAATTACAATAAGACTGTATTTTAAAATGAATGCAATTCAAAGTAAAGTATGCGATGAGATTACACTGTTAGAAACACTTGTGAATATCTATTCTCTTACAACAAAAATCCAATAGAAACTAAAAAGAGTTTACATGTATAAGGCTACCTGTGAAGTTAAATTAAATTACAGAGCTCTGTAAAATTGAAGGTGCCTGTTTGCTTAAAAATTGCCTATCCTTTTATTCAACTTGAATAGAATAGAAATAGTTTCGAACTAGATCATTTGATCTTAGTATGAGTAGAAATCAGGCAGGGAAGTAGTAATTATTTCTTTTACTCCAGTTTCATTTCTAAAAATTCACAGCTAGAGGGCAATAAAGTCAGCATATTATGCAATCTATAATTAAACAACTTGTGCACCCCTATTCATATCAAGACAAAAGGAAAGCAAGAATGTCCAATATCAAAAATTCACACATTAGGAAAAAATGTCCCTTTTAAAACTGTAATCAGAAGCACAATGAATGCAAAAAGGAAGTGCCGTTTTCTAAAGATGTTTTTCAGTTTAAAAATTGTTAGAGCTTACAGATATGTCTATATACAATATCTGTTTATGTTGAATCTATAGGAGTTCCAGACACAATGTTTTCAAGTCTTCCAAACAAAATTATGTTCAGATGACTATAACTACAACTCTTCACCAAAAATATGAACCTTGATTATCCTCTCCTTAAGTGTTTTTTCATCAATATGAAAAATCCAAGGATTTACTTATTTGTTACATTTATGTATTGCCAATCTCATTATGCAATGACTCTCAGCAGTTTATAAATGTAAAGATAAAGGAAAAACCACAGCACACTTACTTAGGGACTATGCACCACATAGTTTCAAATACTGCTGTACATTTTAATTTCTGCTCCAGGCATCAGTGCCTACCAAGTGAGCCTCTCAACAAAGTAGCTGCTTTTCACGCATACAAATTGTTTATGCTCAGCAATCCTTAATGAATAGGGATAGCATTCTTCAAAAAAGAGAAAGAAATGATACCTGGATTCCATGTAGAGAAGAATTTCTCTATCTGAATCTCCCTTAATCTGATTTAAGAGTTTTTAAATCACCTGTGCTATTGTGTTTCTATCTTTGTTTTTATCTTTCTAATGTTCCAATGTTCCAAGAGTGAAAACAAGTGAAAACATTACACATCAACTTTCTCTAAGCCATATCTAGCCACTGTAGCATGTGGACAAATCAGGAAATACTCCAATATAAACACAATATGCACTTGTCCTCTTTTGTGAGCTAACATTGTACAGACTTGTTACTTGCAGCTTATGTAATAACCAAAGCCACAAATGGATTTTAACATTCTCTAATTTTCCATCACTGCAATCCAACCTGGAATATTGGGGCCAGTGTAGATTTTTGTATCTTGCAAGTTGTACTATTGTTAATCAGTGTTTTAGGACCTCTTCCTTAAAAAAGGATTTAGGAAAGTAAATCCCTGCAAACTATACCAGCAAAGTAGTATAATGCTAATCTTACCAGAGTTAAAAATAGGTATCATCTGGCTTCTGTCTTATTTCAAATGTTTGATTTTGACTTTAAAAATTAATGATTCCTAGTCCAAATGCATTTTGGAGGGAGGGTTTTCTCTAAATTGCTTTACCTATGTTGGAGTCTATGGCTGGATGAGAATACAGCAACAATGGAAACTATTCTACGCACCTCATTTTAATATGGTTGTAGCTAATAAAGACTCTGACATGCATGAATTAGTTATACAGCATCTATACACCAGTTTTGATGGAAGCAGTTCGAATGCGATAAAATTAGCTTTGGGAATTATCCAAGGCAGAAAAAAAATGTATAAAGAAGCACAGAGCAGCTTGGTAATGCAAAACAGGCATAAAACAATGAGCACCCTTCCACCAGGAATCGCTGAGGAAGGGTGGGAAAAACACGCAAACTCACACAAAAGTTCGCGAGCACTTTCTCCCCTCACCCTCCTCCCAAAAAAAACCCTCTCAAAGGCAAAAGAGGAACGGGGTTGACCGCATTTTATGCGACAGCTGACAGGGAAGCAGAGAGCCGCGGCCGAAACAAGAAAAGCAGAGGATACGCTCGACGAAGATGTTTACAGCCATGGCTTCGACGCACTCAAAGGCAAGTACGCCAAGGAAAGCGGAGCTGCACACACACCAAGGGGCTTTGGAGCGGAACCGACTTAAAACGAGAAGGACGTTTGACCGAGCCGCCGCCATTTTTTTTTTGTCTCCCAGCTCCAACAGCTGAGCTGCATATACTTTTTTCAGGCGGGCGACTGCTCCGAGTGCAAAGCAAACAGCATTCCGCCCCCTCCCCTCAGCTTGCGTTTCGGGAGCGGAGGTGCTGCTGCAAGCGTTGGGCCTTAAAAGAGGGGGGGGGGGTGTGAGGAGATAAACGGGAGACTTGGCCGCGTGCTCGCGCCAAGCTGTACAGAACCGGGACTCTTGGGGGGGGGGGTGCGAGTGGAGTAGCGCGCGCTCACTCGCGATCCCCGCTTTACCTTGCGGAGATAACTGGCCACCACCTGCTCGAAAGGATATTTATAAACTCCCTGGGCCTCCACGGTCACCCCCATGTTGGGGCACGGACGGAGCCGCCGCGGCCCCTCCCTGCACACTCGGGCGGCTTTTTTTTTTTTTTTTTTGGCAGACCAGCAGCAGCAGCAGCCAGCCGCCTGGGTAGGCCCCTTCTCTCCGCCAGGCGCCAGCCCTCGCCCGCCGCTGAACTACGTAAAACTTTTGTGACGGGCGGCGGCATCGCTTGCAGGACAACCCCGTCCTATAGGTCACAATGTAAACACAGGACCAAACCGCGGAGGGGGAGAGGAGGAGGAGGTCGCTGGCCCTTTTCCAAAAGCGGCGCCTTCTCTCGGACGTCCCGAACGATGCTCGGAATTTGCCGTCCGCGACCTCAAAAAAAGGAGGGGGGGGGCAGCGCGGATTATAATTCGGTGCTAAAGCCCGCTTTTTTGGTTAAACGTAGAAATGCCGCCTTTAAAGAAAAAGGATTGACGTATGCTCTAACTAGAAAAAACGCGCTCAGAATCCAATTAGGCTTTTCCCACGTGCCTTTCGCCACACCTCCTGCCTCCCCCTCCCACCCGCATGCGGGTCAAAGTTTGCCCGTCTACTTCAGAGCGCTCTAATGAAAGAGGCAATTCCCTCCGGGTTAGCCCCTCGGTTACTAAGTGCTGTAAAAAGGAAACGGGTCTTGTAGATACAGCCCCGGCGGCGGCGGCGTGGTGGAGAATTTGCGCCAGGCAGCAAATTCCCTTTCCCACAGAGCCATGAATTCGGAGCAACTCGGGATCGACCCGCGTTCGCAGGCGGTTCGGAGCTTAAGGCGGCGCTCGAGCTAACGCCTGCCGGCAACTCCATAAAGAAACATTTCGTCGGCTCGTCCGAGTCCTGCTGCTCCGTTCCCAAAGCGGGGACTTTTATGGAGGTGCCGGCAGATGTTATGTGGGCGGCGACGGCAGCGTCTCCGAATAATATTTTCTGCGTCGGATCCGGATGAAGTCATTTCAGATGATGGGCTCAACCTTACGGGGAGATTTATTTTTAGCTGCGAATAAGTATTTTGTGGTAGAAAATTACCGCGCTGTATTTTATTTTATTTTTAAAGAATGATCTTGGGCAAAAGGAGAGCCTGGCAGATCGGAGTTTCTGGTTTAAAAAAAAACCCTGTTGTCAAATTAGCTCAATAATTGATGTTAGACCATCTTCCACTTTCCCCTACAGCCCGCCACTCCCCGGGTGGTTACTTGCTTCCAGTCAAAGTTCAGTTTGCCTGTACCAGCGGGGAAACCCTTGTTTGAAATGAAATATATATGATATAAAAATGCTTACTTATAGATTATAAAACAAGTGGCACAGCATGCAGTCTTCTGGTAGTTGTGCTACTGAATATTGGAAGCAAATCACCAAGGAAAAAAAGTGCAATTTCTGTTTTCTGATGGGAATTGTGCATAAACTGATCCAAATCCCATTAATACTAGTCTAACTCATTTTGGTACGGGCACTGTCCTTCCTGCTCAGCCCTTGACTACTCTAAAATAATAGAAAAAAGATCTACAAATCTTAATAGATCAGAAGCAACATCACATAAATCCATCACTGAAATACTTAATACTGCTATTCTGAAGTAAATATGATTGAGGGTGCAAAGTTTTACTGTCAGAAGTAGACAGAAAATTGACATCGTGGGGAGGGGGGGAGAGTGCAGTGAAGAACAGTTGCTTACAATGAGAGATCCCAGCAGTAATATTAGGACAATTACCACAAGGATCCATAACCTCAGTACAACTGCCTAGAAGGTCCCTTTCCACATCTCTGCCCATCTTGTAAATGGGGAGTCATCATTTGATTTGATTTGATTGTATTTCTATGCCGCCCTATTCCCAGAGGGACTCAGGGCGGCTCACAAACCAAGTAAGGGGGGGAGGAGGGAATACAAGCAGGGGAAAAAAAAGAAACAACGGACAAAAAACACCACAATTTAAAAACAATCAACAGCCACACAATTCGAGCGGGGACAGGAACTTATCAGCCCCACGCCTGTCGGAACAGCTAGGTTTTAAGTGCTTTGCGGAAAGCCTGGAGGGTGGTGAGGGTCCGAATCTCCACGGGGAGCTCGTTCCAGAGGACCGGAGCAGCCACAGAGAAGGCCCTCCTCCGGGTGGTAGCCAATCGGCATTGGCCAGTGGATGGAATTCGGAGGAGGCCTAATCTGTGGGATCTAATCGGTCTGTTGGAGGTAATTGGCAGCAGGCGGTCTCTCAAGTACCCAGGTCCAATACCAAGTCAGCTATTGACTTGTAACTCGGGTGGGTTCCAGCCAGTGTTAACTGCGGGTTCGCTCATGCGTGCATGGATGCATGCTGCACATGCATGCATAGTTTAATAAAAATTGTTTTGCACATGCGCAGAACTCAAAAAAAGATGCCGTGTCCAGCCTGGGACGCTGCCGGTTCTGCAACCCAGCCCAGCATACCACTACCGTTTCAGTCGAACCAGGCCGAACCGGTAGGAACCCACCTCTGTTATAACTACAGTAGATTGTTATAGGTGAAGTGTGGTGGCACTTTCAGACATTAACCCATTTGACAGTTTATTCTGGGAAAATTAGAGCAATGAGTACAGCTTTTTAGAAAAACAAGTATAGAGCTACAAGATTGTTCAGGCTGCAAAAGTCTGAACAACCATTAGGTGGCACAAAAGTGTTATTTTCCCCTGTATGTTTGCTGCCACCTAGTGGTTTTCCATCCTACATATGGAAGTCCTAAACAAGGGGATTAGAAAGCGAGGCACTAAAAAGTCAACATAAGTGCTGTGTGTCTGTTGCTAACTCAGAGTGGTGTCTGTATTATGAGGCACTGAACTCAGCTGTGGAATTAATAAAGCTAGTAGAGAAAAAAAATAATTTTGCAGTGCCCCAAACCTTTCTGGCAGTGCTAGCAATCCATATCTAACTGCATGGATAAACATGTATTGACTTCAAAGCACCATAGCCATTACTAATCACTCCTCTTTTATTTATAATACTTTTGTAGTGGCCTTTTTATTTAGCAAAAGCTATCCCTTGGCAATTTGTAAGCTAAAGTCTTGTTGCTCAAAACTTTAAAAAAACACTGTAATAGGAAATATTAATAACAGTGAAAATTAATTTAGTTAGAAAATTGGAGAACACAGTCAGTTACACACATTAAAAAAGAGTCAAAGAGAGAGTCATGCTTTCATCGCATGGCAAGTCATTGCTCAGGGAACAAATCATCTCAAGAAAATCTTGTGTCACTTGCGCTCATCAACATCATTGATCTTATTGGAGGGCATGTAAGTAGAGCTGATTTTAGAGACTAGACAGCTATCAAAAGCTTCCATTAACAATGTTCAGAGATAAATATTGTTGCTTTTGTAGTCCAATTGCACACAAGGGGAAGATCTTAGCAGGCTCAGGGGAGTCATAAGATCTTCAGGGAAATTACAGAGAAAACAACGATTTAAGGAGGCAATTCCTCTCTCACTAGGAAACCAACCTGGTGAAGATTCATCGTGTTCAGTGGCCTTAGAATGATGAATGTCTACTACATGTGTGGAGGGAGAAAACTCAGGAACTGAGAGAATGGGAAAGATGTTCCCTTCCAAAGGGAGATACCAGGTTATTACCCTCAAAAGTTGCATACCGTATTCAAACTTGTACTCGGTTACAGGCTCCTGCCAGTTCTAACCTCTTCTATAGAAGAGGTTCCACAAATCTACAGTGCCGTTTAGAACTGGTTCCAGCTCTCTCCTCCTGCTCGTCTGCACATCATCAAAATGAAGAGCGAGAGGAGGAATTTTGGGAGTTGAAGTCCACAAGTCTTAAAGATGTCAAGTTTGAACGCCCCTGGGATTTTTTTAAAGGGTTAGGGGTGCAAAGGTCTTGTAACTTGACAGCTTTAAGACTTGCATGCTTCACATGCCAGAGTTCCTGAGCCAACATGACTGGAGGAGGAATTCTTGGAGTTGAAGTCCACAAGTCTTAAAAGCTGTCAAGTTTGAACACCCCTGGGGGTTTTTTTCTAAAGGGTTAGGGGTGCAAGGGTCTTGTAACTTGACAGGTTTAAGACTTGCGTGCTTCAAATGCCAGA